CTCTAGGCGCTCCTTCAACCATATTTTTGGGAGTTTTGGAGACGGTTTTGTCGCAAACGACCTCACTCTGACGAGCCTCTGGCGACCTTCCAGCAACATACTCCAACCACTTTTTCATCCGGATTTCGACTCCCTTGCCTCCTCTTCCACATCTTTTCTATCCTACTTGAGTCTCCATCTGTGTTTTGAACTTTTCATTGATTAATTTTGGAAAATTGGATCTTGAATTTTAGGGTGAGGAGAATTAGGTGGAATGGTTGAATTGATGAAATTTGAAAAGGGAATTGCTGAATGATGATTGTTTGCATGTATCTAGGTTGGTTTGGTGCTTGTATGATTGTTTGAATTGGAAATTCCCACAAAGTGTTAGATTAAATGCCTAGTTTTGATACCATGTTCTGCATGTTGAATGGTGGCTATCGAGGCATGATCTAGATTTTCAAATGCAACCCAGTTGATTTATTCAACAACTAGTTCCATGCCTCAGTGTGATTTTGGGAAGTTTGAGCTTATTTTATGGTGATCCTGCCTTTTGAAAAGCTTATGTCGGATTGACACCTAGGTGGAAAACAAGTGTGGGCGAGTGATATTTTGTCTCAAATATGATTTGTCTTATTATATTTCACATATGGTGCTTTTTGGTTTGATATTTTGCATCATGGTTGATCTAGACCAGCCTTACCTCCGGAAGTTGGTCAAAGATCCTCAACTTAAGAATGAGGTCGCTGCTTTGCGACGGGCAGCAATTAGGACTCATTGGATATTTAACCAGCCTCAATCAGTTCAATGCTCTGAATTGTGGATCTTAGATGGCAGCAGTCGTGGTACATCCTCAGTGGCGCCGCCTCCTTGAGATTGAGGATGACATCTACTTAGAGCCATTCATTGAGTTCTATTGTACCTTTGTCCACAAGCAACAAAAGGAAATTTATGCCCACCGCTACCCATACATCTTGTCTGGGGTTGGAGGAAGAATTTGGGAGATGGATTGCAATGAGTTTGCTTAGGCTATGGGTTTGGAGTTTGGACCCTAAAGGTATTACCGACTTTGAGATTGACTCCATCACCAACTTTGATGCTCAAAACGTTTTTTAAGATGTCTACCTACCTCTGCACTAGCTAGTCCTCTATGATCTTGCGAGGACTCGATAACTTTGCTTCAGCCTCAGTGGTGCATCATCAATGCGCTACTCGCCCGTTCCATTTTCCCTAGTGACCGGTAACCAAACAATGTCACCAAGCAGGCTATGCTAGCCTTTGACACCATGTCGCATGTTCCTCGGAGACATCACCTTGGTTCAGTATTGGCTACATCTTTCGCCAAGCTGACAAGTAAACTCTGAAACTGCATCATGCATTTGGGTCCATACATCACCAAGCTAGCCAAATACCTCCACATCGACTTCAACATATGCACCAAGGTAGGGCACACTACCAACTTTCCTAAGGAGGCATTGGGTTCTATACACTTGCTCCGAGTGTATAGATCCCTTTGATACATTGAAGGTTTATACGAGCAGGGAGAGTCATCCTAGAGGGATCCACCATCGCGCCGACGTGGCCAAATCGGCGGTTCATCTTCATCTAGAGATGGACCTTCATCTTCATCTAGAGATGGACCTTCATCTTCGGGAAACTCTTGACGGGCAGTTTGTTGGATCCTCATCCCAGATCAACAAAGAGCGGGAGGCCCGGCGAAAATCACATCATTTGGAAGAGTAGCTCTTACGCTCTCAATATCTCCAGTACCATGATCCCTACTGGCACTGTAGTACCACCACTTCACTTCTCTCCTCATTTGGGTCTAGACTATCAATTTTCTTTTTAGTTTGTATAATTCTTAATTACTTAGTTAATTTAATTTGCATGTAACTTTGAATATTCATTTTCTTTAATATCCTCGCCCTTGGATATCTTGTGTTTTTTTTTTAGTGAAGCGCTCTCTCTCTCCCTTGAAACTGGTCCAAATCCAGTATGACTTTCACTTGCCAATGATTCGATAACTTCGTTCCACCCTTATTCTTTCTCATTTGGGGACAATGTCATGCTGAAGTGCGCAGCGTGTTGAATACGTATAAGAATCGCGTGGGAATGTGATGAATGGCCTTTTATATTGAATGCTTTGGAGCCTGGTTATTACCAAATTCCAATAATTTGTGGTCTCCAAGCACTTGTTCAATGAATGATTATACTAGAATGGGGGGTCCTAACTAACTTTGAGCTCCTAACGTTATATATTATGCAAATCACACTAGAGTATCCTATCATAGTTTCAACATGAGACTAGTAGGATAATCATCTGAGTGAAGCCTTCTTACTAGAATTTAACCTAATTTCAGTTGTTTGTTTGTTGATTTTAATAGCTTTAAACGACATTTCTACCGCTAGAAAATTTGAGGAAGTAAGAATAGATAAATTGCCCGGATTTGATAATTGAAATATACTTGCTCTATTCTACACTCGATTGTAGGTTTCACTTGGTCTATGAGTCAGATTCCATCACCACGACCAAGAAAGTGAAGCACCCATTGTTGGATCTCTATTAGCTAGCTCTGCATTCAAGAAACTCGCAAGCAGTGGTATCAGATTATAGAAACCCATTTCAATCGCCCTTCTCGTCTTCATTGCCAACTGCTTAGTTTGTACAAAGTGGGACTAAAACTTTACCGCCCAATTGCATCAATCGATCCTCACATTTTTTTTCTTTTTGGTTCTTGGATACCCTTTACAGTTGATTCACCATAATCTCAACGTCAATCTTGTCTTGCATCGTTTTGACGTCTTTCAGGTGGTGTTTTTCTTCAACATATGTATGGTTTCAGGTGGCATACACTCCATCTAGTCCAACCAGTCCTTGGGCATGGACTATGGGTGGGAAACAGTCCGGTCTGATTAAAACCTGACTGGATTAACCCAATTTTTTTAAACTGTTTCAGCCAATACCATAATCGGAGACGGTATTGGATGACATCCGATTTTGACCAAAACTGGACTGGATTGAATCTCCGGTCCGGTTTCAACACAAAAACCGAATGGGACTGTTTTCTCCCAAAACATTGTCGTTTCCCTCTGCCAAATGCCCAAATTTACAAACATAAATAATAAAAAAGCATCACCACCCATCTCCTTCTAACCCTAAACAAGCGTCGCCTGTATCTTTCTTTCTCGTCCTCTTTCCAACAAGAATGACCCAGGGAAAAAAATCCCTTCCCGATCTACTCTCGCCTGCTTCTTTCTTCATTCATCATCATTCCGCCGCCGATGAGAGTTCACTTCCCAACTTCGCCACCACTGCATCTTCCACATAAATCTTATCCATCTCGTACAGAGGGTCACGCGCCGTCGTCGGTCTACGGAGGTTCGAGCGGCGAAGTTATTGTTGGGCTTCTTGGATGGTCGGCGGACGAAGGGAGTCAGGGGAGGGAGCTCGAGAGCTTGTTGGGGTTTTGTGTGAGGGAGATGCAAGATTAGAGAGGGAGGAGGGAGCGGCTGCAGAGCACTGTGAGGAATGGGGTAGGTTTAGGTTTTGGGCTATAAGAGGGTCGGATTATGGGTGGGCTCTGTGGAATTGGGTTGGACAAGGCAGGCCTGGGGGATTGGATTGTAGTTGTGGGCTGGGCTAAGGTTCTATTTTAAGTTTATCCCAATGCTGTCAAAGCCGAGCCGGAGTATGACCCGGTAATGTGAACGGCTTGGTCATTAGCGGTCCAGCCGACATTAAACCGTTTAAAAACCGTTTGAGAACCAGTACCTAATAAACAGTCATCTGTAATAGTAGACACTTCTTAATCATGGTAAACCACAAGTAAATTACTCTTAAGCCATTCTAAACCATTCTAGGAGGCACCCTAGGGATTAGGTAAAGCTCACATGAGTCGGTTGACAATCTAACTTGTTTGGTCGATCTTTAGTGGTTGCTGCTAGGAAATTGTTTCCTCTTCTTTTTGGCTTTGTTTGTTAATTTGTTTCCTTCATTTCAGTTCATTCTGATATCTCTTTGCTGGATTTTGCAAACTAATTACAGCTTTGAGAAAGCTTTTCTTCGAATTCCTTTCTCGATCTCTTCAGTTTTTTCTTCGAATTGGATTTTGCAAACTAATTACAGCTTTGATATCTCTTTCTCTTTTTACTGGTTGAGCCACATAAGCATTAATCCATTCGAGCAGGGCAGTTTTTGATAGGAAACTTACCTCGAGCAGGAGGTGAGTCGGCTGTTCTTTGCGGCGGTGAGCAGGGCAGTCTTCACAACCGTTCTTTGCGGCGGCGATTGCTGCTTGCGAGGGCGACTGGCGACGATGGCGACTGGCGAGGGCGACTGCTGCTTGCGAGAAGCGACGATGGCGACTGGCGAGGGCGACTGGCGATGGCTCTCTGCTTGCGGCGGCGAGCTGCTTGCGGCGACGGGACGGAAGCGCTGGCGATGGTTGACGGCGCCGCTCTCCCTCTGTCGTTTCGTTTGTTCAGGTCGAAGAACTGGAGAAAGAAAAGGAAAGGTAGGGTTTTCAGTTTTGTTTGGCTGGCGGCTGCCAATTCCATTTTTTTTTAGGGTTAATTAAACGGCCGAACCGAGCGACCGGCTCGAGCGGCTCGAGCGGTTAACCGCTTCGGCCGCTCGCCGGCCGCTGTATTAAACCGTGGCGGTTAAATAGCTGATCCGAGCCGGTTTTGCGGCCGGGTGGCGGCTTTGGCGGTCCGGCCGGCCGGCTCGGTTCGGCTTTGACAGCACTGGTTTATCCGGTTATTCCGATTTTCCGGTTTAAAATCGGATTGGATCGAGCCGAATTTTCTGATTAATAGGCAGACCGGAGACTGGACAAGATCGAATAAAATCCAGTTTCCGGTTTAAACTGCTCGATTTTCGATTTGACCGGAAAATCGGGACTGAATTCCCAGCCCTAGCTTGGACAATGCCTAGAAGAAGAAGAAGTCGGTTGTGAGAGACAAAGGTGAGGAAAAGAGAAAATGCGAGGAAGAGGTTTGATAAATAATTATTATTCTCAGATGCTAACACTCTCCTTATAATAATACGACCTATCCGAATTTCGCCCATAATTGTTTAACTTATTTCTAATATAATCAAATCACAACAATGAATAATAATAGCATAACATGAAATCAACAAAATAAGTAACAAAACGAAGCTATATATCCTTCACCAAAAGGTCATAGCTACTGCTGATCCTGGGGATTGAACACAGCCCCAGCGAAAAGCACAGCCTGAGACTTACTCTCCACGATCATGAACACGAAGGGATGATCCGCAATGAACTTCTCCTGTGGAGGAGAATATCGGGCAGCGCCGATCCCAGGAAGAACCGCCGACACAGCAGCAGCTTCCGTACCATCCTCATCCACGGCAATGCAAGCACTCTGGATCACCTTGGAAACATATAGCAACTCCCCACCTTCTTCCAGCATCTCGGCCAAGTCCCCCGTCATCTTAAACGGCAGCGTCAAACCCAGCTTCTCCATCGTCTCCGTGGGCTCGAACCTCCGGGCAAACTTCCACTTGGGGATCCGAACCTTTTTCAGCCTCACCACCTCAAGCCCGCCAAGTGTTTGTGATAATGCCTCGGAGCTGCGGAACAGAGGCTGGTTCAGCATCTCGGGCAGCCCTTCTGCCTTGTGCGGGAGGAAAAAGTACATGGAGAAACGAGGCGATCCCTTGCTTTCCCCCGACTGGTAACTCAGCTCCAGGACCTTGAACTCGTCCAAGGATGCATAGTAGAACATACTTTCCCACGTTCTCATGAAGGGCACGGTGACGGTGGTGGTCCCGTCGAGCAGGTAGAAGTCGTTGTTGCTGGTGCAGCGTGGGAAGAAGCGATCATCCCACATTGCTTTGAAGTAGAGTGCGTTTGTGAGTACTAACGCCGTGGTGCTTTCAATATCTTGAGGGCTCAACACGTTGTTTATGCGCCCATTTGTTGATTTTTCGGCCCATGCGTTGATTTCTTTCACCGCTTCCCCTGGCTGCACATGACATTAACATGCAATATATATAAGACTTACGTCCATGATGCATTTTTGCTCAAATCAATTCCCAGGGGCCCCGAGAATCTTGAAAGTTACGTATAAAATGCTTGGGTGATTTACGTATAAACACAACAAACAAATGAATAGTATGTTGTAGTCTGAATAGAATAATCAAAACTCTCTCTTAGTGTAGCGGAATCGGTGTAGTTTTGTTGTTACTAGGTCCTTGTTTCGATTCAAGTATTTTGGGCAGCTTTATTCCCTACCAGTTTCTTTTAAATACTCCAGGGAAGCAATCTTCTTAGCAACTTATAATGACAGCTTTATCCCCTACAAACTAAGTTCTTTAAAATTAGCAATCTTCTTAGCAACTTATAATGACAGCTTTATCCCCTACAAACTAAGTTCTTTAAAATTAAGCAATGTATACCGCAACAATTTGTTTTAAATACTTATATAAGACCTATCTCTTATAAAAACATATGTGCTATACAATATATCGAAATGTATTGTTAACTATTTATTTTTAACTCAAAAAATTTAGTTTATAAAATGAGGTTAATCTTTGCAATGAATAATTTGTGATGTTATCATAATATAAAAATTAATTTATTAAATATTTCTCTTGTTATTATTTTCAGTCATTTTGCGATAACATACAAAAAGATTCCCCCCATCGTCGATTCCTAGCTCCGCCCCTTATTCCATCCCTCCCTTGCGCATTACTAATGTAATGATTAAGTATTGTTTCCCCAAAATACCACTGCTTCACTACAAATTTCTCACTATACAATATTTTTAAATTATTAGAGTTTGATACAGTTCGCTACTGACAAAAGCAAACAGCTATATTATATCAGAAAGGTCAATGATGATTTACATGAATTGCTGGTCGTGCTGGTGCGACCAGCGAACAACACCAAAAACGCTGCACTTACAAGCGAGCCAACACAGCCTTTATCCTTATCATACATCAAGATGACCATGGCTAACAGCGTAGCAATATGAGAAATTTCCATTACGTAATAGATATTGTAAATATAATATATATATTGGGACCTCTTATACTAACTTGGATACAACTTCAAGTTATATAACTGTGTATGAATCTATACCTTACCTAAAATGAGTGCTACTTTTATTATCTAAAACAACCGTTTTAAGGTTTTCGTCATGATCTTTCAAAATTGTTAATGTAAGTTGTAACTATTACATAATAACTATTATATTTTACGTAATGCAACGAGCGGATATTGTGTGTGCATCGTGACTCACTTGTGTGTGTTGGTCATACACAACGGATATGAATCGCGGCTATTGTAAATCGTCTTTGACTTCCGCGATATAATTTACTTGTTCACTTTTGACACTAGCGAAATGCACCGAACTCTAATAATTTGGAAATTTTTTGTGGAAGTAATGGGAAATTTGTAGTTAACAATTGTATTCTTGGGGGAAAAATCCCAAGATTAATCTTATCTCTATTATGAATAGAGAGCAGAAAGTCATGTCATACACCAATGTGAGTACTTTTTTAACTTGTAAGTACCTGGGATTGAAAATCAACAGTGTTGGACTCGGCCCGATAAATGTCGGCAAGGAGCTTCCCGAAAGAAGCCTTGACAGTGAAGCGGCGATCAACCCAGATCCCGTTGCCACAGGATACGATTGCGGGGACATCCTCGTCGTCGTATTTGGGCCTCCTGTACGGCCGGCTGTTGTCGTCGTTATCAACATCGGCAGCGACGGGTGGATTGTTTTCAGGTGCGGCTAAGCGCAAGACTTCCATGGTTGCCGCGGCTTTGGAGTTGAGATCGTCGATGCCCTGTCCTCCGAGGAAATCGAGCATCTGATCCAGAGTTCGGCCTTTGGCTCCGCAAGCCAGTGACCGGAGCACGATGTCCAGAGACGCAGGAGATACGATGACGTTTTCGGCAACGCCACCGCCGCCGCTGACTTCTTTCAGAATGGTTTCTACGGCCACGCGAATTGAAAAATCCATCCTTTTCAGTTTCGCGGAGGAGCTAGAGACGACTGAACTCGAAAAAGGTTGCGGTGGAGAGTTTTGGGTTTCGACTTTCGACCTAGATGCTATATATATACTAATGTAGGCTAAATTGTACATTTGATCACTCGGTTTATCAGTTTATTCCATGTTCATCATTTAAAAATGTTACATTGTATAATAGTCCCAAGTCTTTAAATCTCTTAACATCATTGTTAGCTGGCTATCAAAATTTCATTAAATTTGTCATAGATGGCAATCGGCTATGATCGTTGACCCGTGAATTGGCTGACTAGCACTATTAGTGAGGTTATTTGGCCCTTTGATGCTTAGTGAGCTTGATTCTTCCTAGCTGATTCCTACTCCTTTATACCGGGACAATCAATTCCCACTTCACATTGCGGCTAGCCCAATGTTTCATGAGCGTGTTTCATGAGCGCACAAAATATGTGGAAATGGGTTTTTATTTTGTATTTGAACATGTTGCTTCCTACGATTTTTATCAGTGCAAAACTTTCACTTCTGGCCAACTTGCGGATATTTTCACCAAGATCGTAGAAACTGCTCAGGTTGCATTGATCGACTTCATCTATGAGCTAGGCATTCGTGATATTCATGCTCCAACTTTAAAAGTGTTACGTTACTCTATATGTACATGTTAGTATTATTCGTAATGATTTTTTAATTGTATGTGATGAGTCCATATTGTGTTTGGACATGTACTTTGTGATTTGCCCTAGCCAAGAAAGTACAATGGCTCAAGTTTTGTGTGTCACAGCTGTGATCACAACAGTTATAAACGCATCGAATATTCTTTTGTGAAGTAGGTCTTCCAACACAAGCTTTAACCATGTTAGATTGTGCGTTATGTGTATTTCTTTTGATTTGTTATCGAATTCATCACATTCGAAATGTACATCAAATTGTAGGAGCTCTGAAATGGAGTTCCTCCTTTATGCTACATAGATCATTTTTAAGGGGATTTCTAAAGTAACTTGAAGTAAGGTAACTTGAATTTTTTTACCTGCTATAGCAGGTTTCACGGGTCACATTACGTAAAATACAATAGACATTACGTAATGGATACGTAACCTATCATAATCTTACGTAACAGTTGTAAAAGATTATTACGGAAGTGACACGCTAAAACACAACACCAAACTCCGACCAAGTGTAATCGCAGTCCGGGAATGCAGTAAAGTGGCAAGTTCTAATTATCAACCCGGGATCTAGATCTACTGCCTACTCCGTGATTATGTATTATCTAGCAAACTAAGTCGAGTGATTGTTGTTTTAACTAAAAGCAGTAAGAAAACAGGAATTGGTTTGATTTTTTTAAGTCAAGGGAGAGTCACTCGCGGATGAGTCCCCCTAGCTCCTTAGTTAGGTCTCAATTGTAATTACCCTGGGTTGATTTACTGTTGATTAAACTGCGGAAAAGTAGCTTGGAATCTCTTAAACTGACCAAGCCCTCTCAGCCCAACTACCCCACAGGCGACTAACCTTCACCGGATAGAAAGCTGAGGCTATGAACACAGAACTCCCCTACTGGAATTGGATTCCAGTACAAAGCAGTAGATTGACTAACTCTCGTATAACCAATCTACTACTACCGAATGATGAAGCTCTAACAACCTAATCAGATTCTATCTATCTCAGGTTGCAGCAGAAATCAAGAAAAGCTGATCAGACTTCAATTAATTCAATGAATCATGCATCATTCGATTATAATCAAACAGTATAACAATCCCAAGTCATTACAATCAAGCTCCCTAACACATGGAACTAGGGTTCTTCATACCCAAGTGAGAGAAAGTTCTACTCCATAGAGAGAGAGGGGAAAACAGAATACAAAGCAGTCATACTAATAACAATGGGAAGAATCTGCTATGGGATGATGATTTTCACTCCTATGATGATCTCCAAGCTAGATTTGATGAAACCCATCTCCAAGATCGCTTCTAGGGTGTGTTCTTCGCACTTTCTCTCTCTAGGGCTCTGTTTTTGCTCCAAAAAGTCCGATTCTCTCTCCTTTGGCTCGAAATTGGGTTAAAACCCAGATTTTCACGATCACACGGCCAGGGCACACGGCCGTTTGGCTTACCTAGCTGCCCGTGTGAATGTCAAAACACGGAGTTTCGATTAAGTGGACTTCAGGCTTCCTACACGGCCAGGGACACACGGCCGTGTGGAATTCCCAGGGTGCCCGTGTGAGTGCTCGGTAAATCCCACACGGCCACATGGGTTACTTACACGGCCATGTGGGTTTTAGGAGTGCCCGTGTGGCATCCTCAGCTTCTCGCCGCACGTCCGATCTTCGTCCAATCGACCCCGAACTCGTTCCCAAACCTTCATCCACGTACTAGGACCTGAAATATCACAAACAAGAACAACCTAGCGTGAAATCGGCCTAAAACACGAGAATCAACATCTCAAACGGTGTAAGAATAGGGGTAAAAACATGTGCAATTAACGCTCTATCAAACTCCCCCACACTTAACTGTTTGCTTGTCCCCAAGCAAACCAAGTCAGACACAAGGTAAGCTCACAATTTCAATCATACCAACATTGGGGACAAATCATATAGGCACAGAACACGGGAATCATACTGGCTTTCAACATCAACACATGAACAACTTCAAAAGCAACCAGGACAACCAACACAGAGGACATTTGAGTGCAGCAAAATCGAGTAAAGGAGGAGTCTCCCTTCTGTTCATCAACCAACATAGACTTGACTCAACCACTTACTCAAGACAGTCACCTCATGCACAAAACTCAAGATATCATAATAGAGACCGAGCAATCTAGGTCCTCACCGGGGTACAAGAGTATAGAGAATATGAGAAAATGAATCGCTCACTCTCGACCAGTGGGGTCAGGACAATTTGATGCAAAAAAATGTGCATGCTTATTCTCTCAATCCCTAACATCTCTTCACCATGACGGCAGCCTCTAAGTGTTAGAGCTCACATAAATGAGTGTCATCACTAACTAATCCGTAGGTGTTAGACACAGGTTCAAATGACTGGCTAGGGTCTTGGACATGGGAAAAAGGCCTTTTTGGTGGTGGAAGTATTCATAGCACAAGGTTCCACATTTCCTAACCCAACACAATCACAGTCAATCAAACCACTTACTTTCTTTCTGTCATTCTGCATTACTCAAATTCTTGCACAAGAGCGAAGGAGGTCAGATAAATGTTAGTATTTCCAAGCCAGACTGCTAAGAAACACTACTTAATGGGCACTATTCAGATTTTTTGGTGGTGGCTCTCTTTTGCTTCCATTCATTTTTTTTTTCATTTCTTGAGAGAACCACCACATATTCACATTTTTCAAACACATGCACAACTTTTAAGAACTACCTCCAACCCTCACATTACATTTAGCAGAAACAGCAGAAAACATGTAAAAACCACTCTGTGGAACCTTCTAAGAGATGCAAAAGGGTGATTTTCCATTGTAGACCGAAAGAAAGGATAACACACGGCTCAAAGGGGCTGACTAGGGGGTATGACACACCAGGACAGTCAATTTGGTCGTGGGCTAATCCTATGCCTCCATCATCTTAGCTAATGACAACGTGAATGCTACACATCATGGAAGAGGGATCTATCGCACAAGAAAGAAACGAGCAGGCTCAAATCTCACATGGCTACCTATATGCTCTATCTCTCATTCTGATTCCCTGAACTAGATGCATAAACGACTGTCAAGAACAAATGATCAATCCAAGTCACAATTGGTAAGCAAACAGATGAAAAACTGAACCCCTACACAATTCTACTGCACGTCTCAGTCATCATCATAGGTTGTCCTAGTTACAATCAAGCTGTCATGCAATAATCCGAAAACCATTCGATTCAAACATCAGAACCACAGTGTGCCAAAATGATCATGCAAACAACAGTACTTGGAGCCCTCAAATCTTAAGATTCGGACAGCGGACTAGGCTCCAAGCACACAAATATAGATTCCAACCGATACAAAGCACCCCCCACACTTAAGCACGACATTGCCCTCAATGGAGCAGAGGGAGAGATAAGGGGAACGATGTTACCGGATTGAAATACTGCCAGGAGACTGGAAGGGGACCAGTCAGCGGGAAACAAATGGGACGATGGACAGTTCTGCACGAATCGAACATCAAGAGCACACTGTGCGTTAGGGAACAGAGTTAGCTCAGATGGCCACAAAATAAACAATCCAAAAAAGAAAAAGAAAAAGAAAAAGAAAAATAAACGATAGACTAAGTTCAAGTTCCGCACACACATGGAGCAAACACAAAAAGTCTGAAATGAAAACACACTCAGAGGGGCGACGAGTACAGCCTACTCGTCGCTAAGGTTGTCCAGGTCGATGTCATTCATGAAAGCGTCATCATCATCAGCTGGTGGAGGTGGAAGTGGAGAGTCCTCCCAGGGAGTCCTCCAGACTGGCTGCTCACCCGGTAGCAACTGGAGCAGGTGCTGCTAGACCTCCTGCATACGCCAAGATCAGGCCTTCTCCCGCTCAATGTGAGCCCGTGTCACCCCCTGCTGGGTCTCCATACAGTTCAGGCGCTCATCATAAGCAGCCATCCGGGCCTGATACTCGGCTTGGTGAGCCGCATACTGCTGCTGGAACTGGAGCTGATGGTCGAGGAGCTGCTGATTCTAGAGACGCAGCTGCTCGAACTGGTGAGTGAAGTAGTCTTGACAGGGGAAAGCGGATCTGCTACCCCCGTACTCGAAGGTGGTGGGGCGGGGGGCAGTAGCATCATCCACATCCTCAGGCTCGTCATCCGCAGCAGCCTCATCCTCAGAAGCATCGGGCTGGTCCTCCGCTGGGATCGGAGGTTGAGGAAACCCCGCGATCCACTTGACGCCGCGCTCCTCTCGCAACAGGTGCATGCTCTTGATCGTGTCTTCGCCAAAGGCACTGGTGCTCCCCTGCTCTGTGCAACCCTGCAGTGATATCTGGAAGTAGGCGGCCAGGCGGGTGATGAGGGGAATGCAGTGGAGGCTCTTCACAAAACCCAAGTGGAGAAGATGGTCCTCCTG